TCGAATTGAAAGATTATCAATCGATTATCTTAGATTAACCCAACTAAAATCGGATTTTAATCGGAGAATCGATTTTAATCTGCACAATCGATTGAAATCCCAATGGTCAACAATCGAATTGAAAGATTATCAATCGATTATCTTAGATTAATCCCAGTAGAATCGGATTTTAATCAGACAATCGATTTTAATCTACTCAATGAATTCACTTTCTTTTTTCACACGTTGAAGGTGGACGTATCGTTCCTCCTTCTCTGCTGACACACGTACATCGTGTGACCGCTCGTGTTTTTCTCAATAAACATATCTAATAAATTCTAAATTCTTTACAAGTTTATTACCAATATATATAAAGATACAATGCACAACTATAATTACTATGCTAATATGAGCAAAGATGCCAAAGATCGAATGTGTAACCATGAAATTATACAACAAAACTACGAACAAATTAAATTCTCGACCAATACAAACAACAAAAATAATATAAAAACTTCATTGAAAAGAAGCGAAAGCAAGATGGATGAAAATAAGCAAGGATCTGATGATTATCCTGAAGTTGAAAGTGAAATTGATGACTTGCAATGGCGTTATCAAACCCGCTCAAGCAAAAGAGGAAACAAAGCACCACGTACTGATTCCTTTGTTCAAGGACGAACAATAACATCATCTTCGCGTGGTAATGGTAGGATGGAGAAAAACATAACACGCCATATATCTTCACAACAAGAAGAACGAAAAAATGAGAAAAAGAATGACAACCAGCAGCTGTCAAACCTTGATAACGGACAATATGTTTCAACTAATGATATACAATATTTATGTATTAAAAATGGTGATAAAAAATCGAGTAAGACGTATGAAAGAGGAACTGGTCTTCAGCAATCGAACAGTGATGTTCTTGAGCAAATCTATGTATCTCACCATGCATTGAAATTTGCTGTCGAAGATCGACTTCCACCTCTGAAAATACAATGTGATCCAGCATTAACAAATCAAGACGATGCATTATTAATTGCTAAAGGATACCTGAATCATATCGAAAAGAATTTTAGGAAATTGAATCCACGTTATAATAATCCACTCGGATTTGACCATTATATGATTGACAGCAATGGTGCTTTGATCTGTTTTACAAAATCTATGGAATTATTCATCTACATGTGCAATATTAATAATTATCCTGAAGACATAAATAACAGAAAAATTCGACCAATACTACCTACAAAATTACCTGCAAGAAATGCAATAATTTTAAAGTTTATTGATAATAAAATAAAGTTTGAAGATATACAAATCGTTGTTAAAGAAAAAATGAAAAGTGTATATTCAATAGAGGAAATGCTGGGAACAATAACATATCGTTCACGACATATTCGAGTCGATCTATTATCAAATGAAGAATACATTGGTATATTAAATAGTGGAAAGTTCGTGATAGGTGGTCATCTATATGAAGTTGATGAATATCTACCATCACCAAAAATTCTGATATGTAACAAATGCAACACTCCAGGTCATATGAAGAAGAACTGTAAATCAGCAATAGATGTGTGTAAACGTTGTGGTAATGATAGAAATGATGGAGTTGATCATAAAGGTTGTAATATCAAGTGTCATCATTGTGGTGGTGACCATGAAGCAACAAATTTCAAATGTACAACAATATCTAAATTCCGACAAGAATTATTACGACAGTTGAAGAACAACACTCACCTCTTACCACCACATATTCAGTTTTATATTCCACAACAATTTCGTGATCAAAAAAGTAATAAATTCTTGATGAACAATAACAATGAAATGTATCAAGTTGGAACACGACGAGATGATTTAATTAATATTAATCCACAAGATTTTAATGTATGGCCAGCATTAAATTCAAATTCAGCTTTACCAGCAGCAGCCAGCTCAACATCCATATGGAACTCTGAACTGAGAAAACTGCAAGATGAGTTACACAACCTAAAAAGAGAACATGAAAATGAAATTAAACAAATAAAAATGGAATGTGATAATCAAATACAGAAAATGGTACAGGGATGGCAGTTAATTAACCTTCAAATAAAAACACAAGCTGAAGCTATTTCGGATGTTTACACAACAGTATCAGAAACTTTACCAGTAATTATTCAATCTATTCAAACAATTAATTACGTTATGAAAGAAATGAATGGAAATACTATTAATGATAATGAACGACAAGCAAAAGAAAATATGTTTACAACAATAAATGACACCATCAATACATTTAATAATCGTCTACTGCTATTAACCAATCATCAACAAAAACTCAAAACACTTATGGATAAACAAAACGAGCTGCTGTTGAGAGGTATGAACTCAATTGATCAATTATCTAATGAGCTCTAATTTTTACTTTTCTTCGCCGTCTGTAAATATAAATGTGTGTGAACGTTTTGAAGGTAGTAGAACTGAGAGAACGATGTTGAGAGAGATTATTGAGGAATGGAACAGTAGATCTTCTCTATCTAGTATTTGTAAGCAATGGCATAAAAACCGACCCATTGCATTTAGTGAAAATTTTTTTCTTATTCTTTATAATTGTCAATGTTTAAGTACTCATATTGCTGATATTGATATTCTTCTATCAACCTATACACCCCAAATTTGTATATTAACTGGTGTTGGATCTAAAATCAGAAATTTACCAAAAATTACGTCTTATTACTGGATTAGTCAGGAAGGTACTAATTCTTTTGGGGGCGTGGCAGTGCTAATTCATGATACACTTAAAACTAAAGTGATTGCTCAACAATTTGATTTCTTATTAATTGAACTTGACATCCTTCCAAAACCTATTCTATTAGGAGCTATTTATGTACCACCTGGTAAACCCTTTCCACATAATTTGTTTGATAAATTTTTAAATAAACCGTTCTATATATTTGGTGACTATAATGCAAAGCATACTGATTGGTTCTGTATTCAAAATAATTCCAGCGGTTCTCAATTGAGAAGCTGGCTGAACAATACCGGCTGTGAAATGATATATCCAACTCAGCCAACATCAAGAAGATCTTCTTCAGTTATTGATTTTGGAATTACTCATAATGCATGTGGTTGGGAAGCTGAAACTTTGAAAGAAGGATCTTCAGATCATTATCCTGTATTGATAAAAACACCGCTATCAACGGGATTAAATAATTTTTTTCGTAAAACTAATTGGAAAATATTTTCATTTTTTCTAAATTGTGTTTTTCCATATTTTAACTCTCTCGTTTATAATCTTGAGCCTGATGCCTTTTTTGAACTTTTTTCTTCTTTCTTATCTTCTACTTGGGATAGAGTAAGTGAATACGTACCAGTAAAGAAATATCGACCACCATGGCCACCATATCTCGTACAACTCGCAAGAAGACAAAATATTGCACGAAAAACATATAGAAGATCTAAAAAACAAGAAAATTTAGAAAATTATCTATTTTTCAAAAATATGTATTTAAAAGAAAAATCTATTTTTTTACAGAAAAAAATTGAAGATAAAATCTCCTACATATCGACAGGAAATAATATTTGGAAATATGTTCACCCTACATTTCATCCCTATACACCAGCTTTTAAAGGTCTTACAACTTCTACAGGTATTATAACAGATCAACAGATGATTGCTGATACTCTTGCAAATTTTTATGAAATTCATTTTGAAAAACCATCTTTTGACACAAATAATGTAACTCATTTAGATGCCTTAAAAAATTTCGAAAACATTTCTCAACTACCAAATCTTTCACTTGATAATATTACATTACAAGAAGTTGAAAAAAATTGGAAAAAAGCACATAAAAAGAAGTCAACAGATACTGAAGGACTGTCCGTTTTTCTATTGCATAAGCTTCCAACTGAATATCTACAAATTTTTACTATAGCTTTTAACAAAATTGCTCAAAGAGGGAGCGTTCTTCAATCAAGCAAGCATGCTAAAGTTATATGCCTATCGAAAGATGGATTATACCCTGAAGTAAATAAACTTAGACCTATCTCACTCCTATCGAATGTTGGAAAAGTTTTTGAGAGAATAATTCACATGCGTATACTTAAATGGTGTAACGATAAAGGAATATACATTGATGAACAATCTGGTTTTACAGCTGAAAGAAGATTACAGACTCGTATACTGTCTTTAATTGAAGATCTAAGGTTAACCACAGCAGCAAACAATAGACCAGCACTGGTGATCTTTGTTGATTTCATGTCAGCATTTGATAAGATGTGGCATCCTGCTTTAATTTCAACTCTTGTTAAACTTGATTTTCCGCTACCTCTTTTGCATTGGATTTTTTTGTGGTTGAAAGGAAGAACAATGTCAATTCATGTTGGGGAAGCTGTTTCACGTTCCATTAATGTTTTTGTTGGTACTCCTCAAGGTTCTGTTTTGGCGGCTACACTCTTTCGACTCCACGTACATTTCCTTCCCTCATTTTTCATGAATCTAATTTGCCATCTTTTTGCTGACGATCTTGCTATTGTTATATCAGGTGCATTGGAGAATAAGTTTTCTAAGAACATAATTGAACTTGAAAGACAAGCGGAAATTGCAATGAAAATGCTAGAGAAATATGCTGATGATAACTTACTTCCAGTTAACATTAATAAAACCAAAGCATTATTAGTACACGATGTTGTTGCTCCATCATATCCTACAGTAAAATATAAAGGTTTTAAAATTGATTTTGTTAAACGTTTTAAGTATCTAGGAGTCGATATAACAACAAAACTAGGTTGGGGAGTATACATTGAAAGTCGGTTAAAGAAAATTAGAAAAATATATCATGCTCTTCGCATCCTTTTTAAAAGAATACCTTTATCTCTAATTAAATTAAGAAGGAAATTGTTTTTTGCCTATGCTCTACCACACATAATCTGGCTTTTTTCATGTTGGTTTTTTTATACAGAAATACAACAAAGGCTAATTGAACATATATACTGCACAGGACTGCGTTTAACTTATAATCTAAACTTATGGGATGATTTAACCAAGGGGGAAACGGCGGATTTTTGGGATTGCCAATCCCGTGAAATCCATATGAAATACGAAAAATACATAAAATACGTAAAAAATCCCTGAAATACGAAAAAAATCCGAGAAATCCATGAAATCCATTATTTTCAGTCAGGCAGACACGACGAATATATTGTTTGTTCGATATCGATGTAGTCATATTTTTGTATATCTCACTACCAAATATTGCTTTTGTTAAATACAGTATGTGTAAAGCATAAAAATCTTACAAGATATTGTCTAAGCTAGAATGTAAAATACCTTATGACAACATGTATAAAGACAAAAAATTTAAGAATTGTATATGTGACTATCTGGTTGATCTGTCACCTTTAATACAAAAGTACTAGATCTGAATTATAATAAGGAATAAATTGCAAAAGAATTTACAAAATGTATGTGCAATAGAGAACTTGTCAGAATTGCAAATACTTATCGATATATCGTTCAATAACTTTCTCATTATAAACTAATCAGAACAACAATTTATTTCTCATCAAACTCATCAAGAAAATTTCGAATTCTAAAATACATATTATTATATACTTTCTATATATCTTCTTTGTTTAACATTCGTGTCAATCAATGCCTTTGCAGGCTCTTGATACATCCATTTTACCACCTGGTGCTCTCTCTTTCTATGATGACAATTTTTATAATTTGGTAAAAAATATTGCAGGAACAACCGAAGCAAAATTACTTGAAATTCAAGGTATTAGAAGTGTCTATTCTTTTCTTCACACTGATGATATCTTTGAAATCCTTACGATTCAATGTTCAGCTTTAAATGACATCAAAGCAATAGTTTGCTTGGAAGCAGACGATAAAACTTTCATTATTAAACCAGGTTATCGAGGCAACATCCGATACCTTTACCAACTTTTGCATCAAAAACATGAAGAATATTTAAAAGAAATATCTAGTAAACCTAAACGTAATAAACCATCGATGTCACAACAAAATGCGAACAATTTTGTTGATAATAGTCAACATTCGATTCAATCAAGTTCAACATCTTCACGACAAAATCATGCAACACCATCGAGTTAGTTTGATTGTAACTTTTATTTTTATTCTATTAGGTGGGTCTTTGCGTACTAAATTGACATCTATTATAAAACTTTAAGGAGTAAGATGTTTCTACAAACTACATCTTTTACCCTGATGATGATGTTTACTTTATGAGGAGGAATAGTTTTTACTTTGATCCTGTCAATAGTTGTTAATGCAAAGGAAAATTATTCTACTTTAAAATTATTAAAGCAATTGAAATATGACCTATCATTTTTTAATTAGATTTCAGATTCCTTCTATATTATTCCTCAACATGATTAGAAAAGAAACTGTAAGCTTGATTTATGAGTCGTCTATAGTTTAACCATATTTCCACTTCATTGAGAAATAAACAATTATTAGAATTAAATATATTAATTTAGATAATTCAAGCACAACTAATCGTCACGATTTTGTAATTCATACATTAAATGAATGGATTAACAAACAAGGTATTAAATATGGTATTCAAAAAGTGAAATTAATTGAAAATGAAGATTTTCGGCTTTTCATTAATGATGATGAAACTGATACACTACCATCTATATCATGTTCATGTGGAATTAAGGTTCAGTTGGGTATTATTCGTGGAAGCATTTCGTTGAGTAATTATTATAAACATTTAAAATCAAAGTCGTGTATTATCAAGAAGAAAATATCGAAACACATCAATGGTGAATCGTCCAAAATTATCGACGACGAATCTTCTGATGCTGAAACATCACAAAATAATTCAAATTCTAAAGATATACAATGTCTCACATCAGTCAGTTCTATGAATGAACCTGCAACTATAAGTAAATCAAATAAACGAACAACTGATCAAGATAATAATAGTTTATCGAAAAAAAAACGTATTTAATAATGTATTTATATGTATACATGTCTTTATCA